GATCTCGTCGCGGCCAACGAAAAATCCTCGCAGAGCTCCTCGGCGCACCTCTCGAGGGACACGCTGGCGCCCATGTGCCTCGCAGACGTGAAATGGACAGCGGCAGTGGGGCTATCCTATGATTCGGCAGAAATTGTTTCGAAATCGACACACTGAATGTCAGACTCGGCGCGTGCCGCGCGCGTCGACGGACCCCCCGTCGCCGCGGGGGCTCTCGCGACGAAAATGCTGGGCGCCATGGCAGATATCGCATTCCATGGCTTCCCCGTGGGCATCCTTCGGGTTGCCCCGGCGCCCCCTGCCTTTTCCCGAGGTGCGCCCGCGGCCTCTACCCTTCCCCGGGAAGACTTCCTCACGCCGTGGCCACGCAAGGGAAACTCATAATGTTAACGTACCTCTACCATGCAACCGTCGTCGTTTACCCATGCCTCTACCTTTGCCCCTTTTGACCTAAGCGCGCGTCGGACCGCGCGACGCACCCGTCGAACTGGTCTCTTCGCGCGGCGTCTCCATCGGCGTTAATGTTTCCGATGGCCCAAGAATACCCCTTCTGCCTGTTGTTCCTCGGCGAGGTGCGCAGGTATATCAGAAAGTCTAAGTTGCCAATTCCTTCATCTGACGATGCGTCGGCACCGGCGCCCGAGTCAAAATCGAACTCTGCGGATTGCCCCGCCGAGCACACTGCGGCGGCGGCCTGGGCAGGGGCCGCCGTTGCCGGCGGACCCTGATATTGGGCGCAGGAGTCTCGCGACCCCGCGGGCTAGCCACCCTGCTGGCCGAATAACGCGGTGGCCTCGTTTGGCTGTGGATCGCCGTTCCAGATGGCGCTGGCAAGTCGCCCCGCATGACTGTCAATATGAAATGCATCAGCGCGGCGGCCGCGGTTGAACGCGCCGCCAATGTAACCGGGGGTTCGCCCAGCGATGTGTGCGCAAGCCCTCGTGCGCTCCAGTATGGAGTCGAATTGTCGCTGAGTGCTTGGCATTTGGCGGCCCAGTGGTTGTCGCACTTGTCGCGCGCGCGAAGCGCCGATGCCTGGGGCCCTGAACAATATGACTTACAGGATTTGGGAATTTGGGACGTTGAACCCCGCGGCGTCGGCGTCAAAGCGCGCAATCTCGAAGCGCGCCTGCGCCTGGGCGACCCGTTCTCCCGCGCGGACGCGAAAGTCAATGAGGGCCGCCCCCGAATTCACTTGACCTTCGTCTTCAAGATTCTCGAACTTAGCGCTGGGGAGGAACATTGTATAGGTGGCCCCATCGGCGTGGCGCCCGCCAATGTCCACTCCAACGTTGATTACTGATGGGGGGGCTCTCACGGCAATGGCACTTGCGAGACCTCCAAGGCCACGCTGTAGGGCAGCGGCCTGTCGGGAAGGGGGTCGCAGCGCCCGCGGTCACGCTGATCCAGGCATGCGCCTCGCAAGCGAATTCTAGGAAAGGAACATTGCCAGCAGGGTCCCACGGGGGAGACTGGCAGCGCGCGCGTCGTCTGCGCCACGTTGCATGTCCAACAGCACATCCGATGGCGACCCAGAGGAGGCCAAATATAACGATGCCAATCCAGTGGCCTCGTAGGCCGGTGTTGGTCATAGGTGGCTATTGTTTGTGAAGTGGCGTTGCCGTCAGTTTGCGGGGAGGTGCAGGCGGCGAGATATCATGGCGCATGTTACCGTGCATGGCATCGTCAAAGAGACTGCCGAGCGGCGTTGGCGGGTGGACTTAAGGAGCGTGGCAGCGCAGAGATGCAGGGCTCAGGCGGGAGACCTCTGCGTGAACAGAGGCTTCAGTGCAAGTGTCCTCGCGATGGCCATGGTCTCCTCCGCGCAGAACCGCTGCGCCCTGGTGGTCTACCATATCTGTAGCCCACCAGACAGCGCCGTGGATAGCAAGAAGTAGAGCTATAGCTGACCACCAACGGCCAGCCCCGCTACCAAGTTTAATGCCAGTTGGGAGACCCAACCAAATACTTCGCCTAAGGCGAAGTATACGTCCAACCCTGTTGTATCGCATTAGCGATAGCGCCCGAGGTGGAAAACGCCCGCGTGGGCGGCGAGGGAACACCTCAAGAGTGAAGTCGATGTAAGATGGCGGGCCGCGGCGCGACCTGGCCAGATGGGCGGCGGGTCGCATGGGCCCAAGCGGCCGCGGACAAACGCTCGATGCCTCTCGCCTTTGCCTATCCTCCTTCAGAGTTCCACGACTGGTCGAGCAGCCCCCGTCGTCGCCAGAGAGGCGAGGGAACGGCTGCAGCGGGGAGTAGGAGGAGCAGGGGGAGGAGGAGGAGGAGGACGAGGAGGAGGAGGTGGAGGAGGAGGGAGGAGGAGGAAAAACGTAAAACGTTTTCGCCCGAGGCCAGAGGGGACAGGCCCCAGACCCCCGCGGCGGCGCCCAGGCGAGGTGCCAAGGCAGCCCGCGCGCCCCCATAATCGCGGGGGCGGCACCCCCCTGCGCCCAGCAGCTCGAGGCGGCAGCGGCGCCTGGCAGCAGGCGGCAGCGGCGCCTGGCAGCAGGCGGCAGCGGCGCCCGGCAGCGGCGCCTGACGCGCTAGGCTGTCGCCCAGCAGCAGCAGCAGCAGCGGCATAATCTGCAGAAGGCAGCGCTCCCTTGCCTGGCACATGAGGC